GGCTTTGAAAAGCAGTTTGGGCTTTTCTGGGAGCTTGGCACTACACTGTATATTAACCACTTGCCTACTGGGGCCAATTCTGACATTTCTCCCGTACATGTAAAAATATGCTCTTTTTTTTTTTTTTTCTTTCTAGAAAATTACTTGGAACCCCCAAACATTTTATAATTTCTGAAAGCAAAGGCCTTGGAGAATGAAATGGTGTTGCTGCATTTCTTTCTGTCACACAATACTTGCGCAGCGGTTTATTTAGAAAAAAATAAACTTAAAAACTAATCTCCATCTTTCAATATACTTTACATAGTTAATTTGGGCCATTCTTGGTCACCGGCTATCCCGTGAGGTCACTGGATGTGCGGTATAAACTGTATGTAGCTGTGGCTACATACATCATACCGCACTGTATCCTGGGTTCGAGCTGAGACTTACAGTCTTAGACCCGGAACACAGCAGAGTCTATTACAGTGGCGTTCAGCCATTCAGAGTAAGCGATGTCTAGCAATGAATACAAAGCTTCCTCTGATTGGCTGATTCCTCTGATTGATGATGTTACAACTTCTGACTTAGGCAATCAGAGGAATCTTTGTATTCATTGATAGAATACACATTGCTTACTCTGAATGGTTGAGCGCCGCTGTGATAGACTTTACTGTGTTCCAGGTCTAAGACTGGAAGTCTCGGCTCGAACCCGGAACACAGTGCGGTAATGCTGTATGTAGCCACAGCTATATACAGTTTATACCGCAGATCCAGCAACCTCACAGGTTAGTGGGGGACATAGTCCTTTTGGGCCAAGCTGGCCCAAACTAACTAAGTAAAATATATCGAAAGGTGAAGATTCGCTTTAAGCATTTCAATATTGAAATAATCTGCATTTTGAATTTTAGTGCACAGCTGCAGCCATGAGCCTAGTATCACCGCTTCCCAACAAGGACTTGTATGTACAGTGTGTACTGCGATCTGCAAGCAGTTAAAGAGGAACTGGACTCTGAAAGCTGTGCCCTAAAAAGGCAAGCAGGGAGCAAATGATTAGTCATCAGTATTCCTGTGGTCTTTTTGCAGTTGATCTTACCCCATTACTGACATATCATGCCTTGTTCTCCACTGTGTCTCTGTGTAGAGGTGGCCATCTTGGTAGAGGCAGGACTTTTCTTCCTCATGTCAGAGCCTCCAGGATGGAGAACAAGTGAGCAGCACAGTAGTGACATCACCAGATCTCACATCAAATCTCCTGAGACTACCAATCAGAGGCAGCAGTGCTTTAGTCCTCACACTGCAGATATACAGCTGTGAGACTGTTCATACAGGAGTGCCTAGGCACCCTCACATATCAGGAAGTGCACTGATATTTTCCTTTAGGAATTTCAGGCAAAAATATATTTTTTTGGTACACTACTTAGGCACAACTAAGTTTTCTACAGTAAATGTTCCCTATAATATAGCAAATCTTCACTTTTTAAAGCAAAAGTAAACCTGATATTTAAAATAAAAACTTTTCCTCTTCCAGGTAATGTCATAATATGCTAGTGTGCATTGTATACTAGCACATGTGAAATTTACCTTAAAACGAATCCCTCTAGCAGTGCGCTGTCACTGCTGACAGGGCTTCCATCTTCACCTGGTCCTTCTTTCAGGTCCCTGGGCTCCGGTGGCTTGAATGGCCGAGCTGCGATGACATCACTCCCGAGCATTCACACAGGAGTTACTTTTTACAGCACATACCTCTGAAGGAACGGCTCAGGCATGCTGTTCCTTCAGAGTCCATGTACTGGTGCTGCTACACAAGTAATATCTCTTAAACGATGCAGGTTTTAGGAGATATTTACAGTACCTACAAGGTAAGCTTTATTATAGGTTACCTGTAGGTACAAGTAAAAAAAACAGACTTTATGAACACTGTAGGTCCAGGCCCACTTTAAAAGTAATTAAGGGCAGCTGGACAGTGGCTGTCTGAAGCTCCAGCATGTCTGTGGCTGTCTGAACCTCCCAGAATGTCCTCCAAGACTCGATCATTGCATGGCTTAAATTATTTGCTTGACTTGCATGAGATTGAAGTAATCCTGTTGCGAGAAAACAGGGTGGGATGCCTTTGCCTACTGAAAATTCTAGTTACCTGGCTACTATGCTAGCCATCTGGCTTCAGTATCTTGAATCACTGACACAGAAAGGGTTTACAGGTTAAGGAAGGCAAAGTTGGAACTTGTGATCTACACATTTGTTCAAGTCAGTGATTGATTCTATTGAAAGTGGACTAAAAATCAGTTTAGCAAGATGTTAACTCCATGTTGAAGGGAAAAACCGCAAGAAAAATGGTGGATCAGTCTTGACCATAGGTATGTTTGTAGAGGTGTGTAGCAATTGCATTTCTGGGAAACTGCAGTGTCCTCTTTGTCTGGAACTTTTGTTCCTGTGGTGAAGTAAAATCATTCAAGACATGTTTTATATATGAAAAAGTCTGTTTATAAGATTTGGATAGTAGACTGCTCTGCTAGCACTCAGTGTATTGCCAGCTTTAGGGTTAAGTCATTCCGATCCAGTGACAGCGCTTTATTAGTCATTATGGACACTTATAGGACAGGGTGCAAGTAGATCCAAGAGGCCCAATAAGGAAGGTTTTCTGGGTTATTTACAGGCATCTTCCAATGCTTGGTCTAAGGCAGGACTATTACCATGTGCTTTTTTAAAAGTTTAAAGTACGACATGGCTGATAGGTTCATTTTATCGCAAAGGGCCTTTGGCATAAAAGTCTCTGAAGAACAGATGAGACAGGTCACTATTGGCAATCTGAAATTTTCTTGAATCTCTCCATTATAACTATTGTTACATAGCTAGTCTGGCTGAAAAAAGACAAAAGTCCATCCAGTTCAACCATTAAAAAAAAAAAGTTATAATCCTATACCCACAGTTGATCCAGAGGAAGGCAAAAAATCCCAGCAAAGCATGACCCAATTTGCTCTTGCTGGGAAAAAATTCCTTCCTGATCCCCCGAGAGGCAATCGGATATTCCCTGGATCAACGTTACCTATAAATCTTAGTATCCAGCTATATTCTGTGTATCCAAGAAAGATTCCAGGCCTTTTTTAAAGCAATCCACTGAGCTGGCCAGAACCAACTCTTGAGGGAGTCTTTTTTTTTTCTTTTCCTCCAAACGTAAAGAGTGCCCCCTTGTCCTCTGTGATGACCTCAGGGTGAATGGCTCTACACCGAGTTCACTATATGAACCACTTTGGTTGCCCTTCTCTGTACTTTCTCCAGTTCCCCAAAGTTATTTTTGTGAATAGGTGCCCAAAACTGAGCTGCATATTCAAGATGAGGTCTTACTAATGATTTGTACCGGGGTAAAATAATATCTCTCTCTCTCTCTCTGGAGTCTATACCTCTTTTAATACAAGAAAGGATTTTGCTCGCTTTAGAAACCGCAGCTTGGAATTGCATGCCATTATTAAGTTTATGATCTACCAGAACTCCCAGATCCTTCTCCACCATTGATTCCCCCAGTTGTACTTCCCCCCCCCCCCCCCCCCCCCCCCCCCCCCCAGTATGTATGATGCATGCATATTCTTAGCCCCCAAGTGCATAACCTTACATTTATCAACATTAAGCCTCATTTGCCACATAGTTGCCCAATTAAACAATGCATTGAGGTCGGCTTCCACTGCACAGCTTGGTGTCATCTGCAAAGTCTGAAATGGGATTTACTGTTAATTCACTACAGACAACAATTTTCATAGTTTTTCTATGCAAATATATCATAACTGTGCAATTCAAAGTGACCAAGAATACAACTCAATATTAAGTCCCCGGTCACACCGGTGCGACTTATCATGCGATTTGATAGTTTCTGTTTCTTATTGTCCACAATGATAGCAGTCATATCAGTGTAATTCCGACTCCGTCAGATTAGACACGATTTTAAAAGTACTTCATGCACTACTTTTTGCAAGTTCAGGTTCGACTTGCATGGACATCTGTGCATGAAGTCAGACAGATGTCTTGCAAGTCGCACCTGAAATTGGACTGACATCCGACTTTGAAATCATACAAATTCAAGTTGGATTCTGTGTGACCAAAGACTGAACAAGCTTCTGTGTTGCCTTGCTAATTTCATAGATTCTGCCACTCAAATATTGGTCTTTTCCCACTCTCACCACTTAACCCAATTCAAGAGTTCGAACTACGTAGTAAACTTTCAGTATGCCTTAATAAAACACATTATCCAGGTCTTCAGACTTATATTGGGTTTGGAACTGCAGTTAATCACGGAACCCACATTTTTCCAAACTTATTTGGGATTAATCAAAGTTTCCTGCGCAGGCACAGGGACACTGAAAATTGCATGCAGATAGTGTTCTGATTGGAATTTGAATCAAGGACCCCAGTACTGCAAGTCATAAGTGATAACCACTAAGCCATTGTTTTGCCCAAGTTAATTTTATTTAGGTAGCGTGTCAGTAATAATAATTGTCAGTAATAATAATAAGTATCACTGTTGCTTGTCACCCTATCTCAAGTCCCTCTTGATATGTGCATAAATATTACTATCATCCCCAAACTGTATGTAAATCTTTCCAGACAAATACTTGCTCCCATACCACACACAGGGGTTTCTCCACTGGCTCATACATGCCTACAAAACATTGGAAGAACCACACAAGTGTCTGGGGAGAAATGTGTTTAACCTACCCAAAGGGTCAAATACTTGCAGTAGCCGGGAGCAGACAATGGTAGAATTTCAACACTCAGTTCTAGCAAAGAAAGTATATTACCCCTCCTCCTTAGCTTGGATATTGGTGATCCTGTGCTGGTGAATTCACTTTAAATTCTGTTTACAATTCTTATAGTTGCTCTGTATAGGATTTTGCAATGCATAGGAGTTTGCAATAGTTTCATAGTGAACAAGTATACTGTTAGAGGTGTGATATCTCATCCAATCTTCTCAAAAGATTTACTTGTACAGCTTTTATGTCTAGGAAACCGTGGAAAGATTTGTTCAAGCAGACATGAGCGAGGTGGCTCTGGTAAGATTTATGTCTAGTCTGCACTGGTGTACTTTATTAGAAGCCACACAGGTTACCTTTTATATGTAATAAGCTGTTGTTTGTGTGATTCTTCTCTTTGTCTCTAGAAAAGGTCTGCAGTTTCTGAGATTCCAACTGTCACAGTTGTTGCAGATGAGGAATTTTTGCCATTTCAAGATAACACCTTTGATCTTGTTGTCAGCAGTTTAAGGTTGGAGTTTTGATATCTCTCAACATCTCATGTCATCAAAGCTGACAAAGGGAAACTGCTTCTTTGCAGTGGGGTTAAATGCTCATTTATGTCTAGGGGACTTGGTAAAGCACTTATACTTACCCGATTGTTCACTCAATCAGTCTTATCTGTGTTGCTAAATGGGCCCCAACAGCATCTTCTCCCCTGCATTCTGGTGGTCCATGGTCCTCTGACATCATCAAGACCAATGTAGGGACCATAGCCTTGCTTTGGACGTGCGAAGGAACAGCCCACATCTGGAGCACAGGGGAGGGGTGCCTGCCAGGGCAGCAGGGAATTGAGTAAGTAAGTGCTCATTCACTTGTGCGGCAGCCATTGCCATCCCTCTGAAAAGCCATCTGTGGTTGCCTCCTTACTGCCTGATTTAATCCTGTGAATGCTACACCACACTGCCGCAATCACATGCATTGCATATGGTTGCAGGGCAGTGGTGGCATGGTCCCATAGATTTGCATGGGCAACATCCAGCAGCAGCAGTAACGTCTGCTGAAAGTCGCATGCAGTTTAATTTTTGCTGAGTGGCTGCATGTCTGTATTGAGGTTGGGAGGGGGTGTTGGGGCAGCAGGTATAAAACTGTGGCTCAACTACCTGGTTTCTATGGCTCAACTGCCTTGTTTTGCTGCCCCCTGGGTACACGAACCCTAAAAGTGCTTTTTTTTTGTCCCCTAGACAGAACCGGGCATTTAATCCTAGTAGGGTGGGGGTGGGCCCAGCCCCACTGCAAAGAAGAGTTTTTTGCTTTCCCCGGAGTTGGACTTAGATCGCATATGTCTCATTTTTCAAAAACTGAAATAGTATCTAATTCTGTTGCCGGTAGAAACCAGATTTTCTTTTTTGATCCGTTTCCCAGTACTGCACTGAGATAAATTGTAAGATAGAGAAATTGCTGGCTGTAGACAACACAGTCTGTTCATCTTTCAGGAAGTTTGATAAATGATTTCCAGAGTTATGTACACCTGTGCGTTGTATAATTATCATTGTTCTTTTTTTCCAGCTTGCACTGGGTGAATGACTTACCTAAAGCTTTCCGTGAGGTAAGAAATATGGTCTGTTATTCATACAAGTTCACATTAAAGCAGAGTTCCAGACCCTGCTGACTTTTAATATTAGGGCACTTACCTGTCCTGGGATCCAGCGATGTCCTCACTCCAAGCCTATTCTTCAGTCGAGTGCTGGTGCTGCCATCTTGACTAAGGGAAACCGGCATTGAAGCCTTGCAACTTCACAGCCGTTTCCCTACTGCGCACGTGCAAAACATGCCGCACTTTGTGAATGGGCCGGAGTCCACTGGGACTTGTTGAGTTTCCCACAGGGCTGTTGGGGGGGATGCAGAAGCGGGAGTGGTTACCTATCAAAACCAGGTAACCGCTCCCCCCTTCCACTCCGAAATGTGGTAGCGGGGGGGGGGGGGGGTTGGTTGGTGGGCAGATAAGCAAAGCTTCCACTTTTTAGTGGAACTCTGCCTTAAATAGACATTTTACTATTGAAGATGTATTCTAATTGTACACTCAGTAGAACTTTGGCCAGAACATTTTATTTTCAGCTTCAGATAGCGTGCGGAAGGCTTAGTACCTCTGATACGGTTTACTGTTTTCTGGATCCTTATTGGTTAGATTTCCCCCCACCTCCTGTGACAGTGACCACCTGTGTGGGACATAAATTAGGGGAAATCTCCCCCATTGAAGACATAGACAAAACCTGACAGTTCTAACTGGTTTCTACTGTAATTTAACCATTGATTTAGTTTTTTGTTTTTTTGTTACAATTGGATTGTTTTCCCCTCACTTTCCTTGCTTTGTGACTATAGTCATTGTCATTTTTTTTTTTTCTTACTCTTATGCCCCTTCACACTTGAGCATTTTTCAGCTCAAAGCTTGACGCTCAGAATTGCTCTACAAGGAGACATTTGAGTACGTTTTCACCTGTCGCTCAGAAATATACATGCACTACTTTTCAGGCAGCTTGGAGCATTTTCGTCCCCATAGACTTGAATAGAAAATGCCTGAACAGCAAAAAGTGAGCCTTTTTTTAATGTTTTTTCAGGCGTTTTCAGCTCAAACAGCAGCTCCCCTTTTCTAGCATTATTCCACACCTTATACACACACATCTTGTGATCAAAATGGAGGAGAGTCTGCTTCTGGAAGCTGAGACATTCATTGCTCTCATTCGTGTCCACCCCTGCATCTATGATCCAAGGATCCCCATTATAAGAGCTGGACAAGAATCACCAGAGCCTAATGCAGGCCATAGACGGGGAGAAAAACGGCCGATTTTTCTTTTAAAAAACGAAAAATCGGTCGTTCAAGCGGCCGACATTACCACCAATGGTAAAAAAATCAGCCGATTTTCATCCCGTCTACAGCCGGCAAAAAGTGTCCCTGCAGAGAGCTCTGCTATTTCTTTGACAGTTCCTTGACATTTACAGAGGTTGCAACAATGTATCTATTTGTATCCATTTAGGATACAGATGTTTTTATTCGGAAACAAATAGATACAATGTTGCAACCTCTGTAAATGTCAAGGAACTGTCAAAGAACTGTCAAAGAAATAGCGGAGCTCTCTGCAGGGACACTTTTTGCCAGACTGGAATTCCTCTTATTTTTCATCCTTCTTCTTCTTCTCCTTCTTCATCATCATCCTCTTCTTCTTCTTCATCATCATCTTCTTCTTTTTCATCATCATCCTCTTCTTCTTTTTCTTCATCATCATCATCCTCTTCTTCATCATCCTCTTCTTCTACTTCTTCATCATCATCATCCTCTTCTTCTACTTCTTCATCATCATCCTCTTCTTCTTCTTCATCATCATCCTCTTCTTCTTCTTCTTTTTCTTCATCATCATCATCCTCTTCTTCATCATCATCCTCATCTTCTTCATCATCCTCCTCCTCTTCTTCATCATCCTCCTCCTCTTCTTCATCATCCTCCTCTTCTTCTTCTTCTTCTTCTTCTTCTTCTTCATTTTCTTCATCATCTTCATCCTCTTCTTCATCATCATCCTCCTCCTCTTCTTCATCCTCCTCCTCTTCTTCATCCTCCTCCTCTTCTTCATCATCCTCTTCTCTTCCTCTTCCTCTTCCTCTTCCTCTTCTTCTTCTTCTTCTTCTTCTTCTTTTTTTTTTCATAATCCTCTTCTTCTTCTTTTTTTTCATAATCCTCTTCTTCTTCTTTTTTTTCATCATTATAATCCTCTTCTTCTTCTTCTTTTTTTTCATCATTATAATCCTCTTCTTCTTCTTCTTCTTTTTTTCATCATTATAATCCTCTTCTTCTTCTTCTTCTTCATCATCATCCTCTTCTTCTTCTTCTTCTTCTTTTTTTTCATCATCATCCTCTTCTTCTTCTCATCATCATCATCATCATCATCTCTTCTTCTTCTACTACTTATTCTTCATCATCATCATCCTCTTCTTTCTTCTTCTTCATCATCATCATCCTCTTCTTCTTCTTCTTCACCTTCATCCTCTTCTTCTTCCTCTTCTTCTTTTTCTTCTTTTTGTCTTCCTCTTGCAGGTCACTGCTCATGCGCAGATTTTTTATCGGTAAAAAAATCGGCCGATTTGCCCATTATTGCCGCGAAAATCGGCCGATTTTTTTTTTCCAACTTTACCGATAAAAAAAAAAAACGGCCAAAATACCGAAAAACGGCCGAACAAATAGCCCACTAACGATCCGAAAATCGGCTGATTTTATTTTCGGCCGAAAAATCGGCCGATTTTCGACCCATCTATGGCCTGCATAAGAGGAAGTGGAACAAAATTTTGCTGCACCAGCAGAACAGCTACACTGCTCTCCAGATCAAGGAGACAGGTACAGATCTTCTGTGTACAGCAGCCATCTGCTTGATTCTGGTTTTTCTGTTGTATGTGCCTAGGACACATCTACACAGGTTTCTATTGGCCACAGCAAAAGTGCACAAATAAAAAATGCTTGAACAAGATGCATATAATGAAAATATCGAAAGAAAAACGAGCGCTAGATCTATGTGACAGGAGCAGCTGGCATGAAAGGTAATCACCTCAAAAACCTTCAATATCACTCAAAATTCATAAACCATGCAGCGCTTAAAGATGAACATATATATCTTCAATAAATCTCTATATAAAGTCTCTATTATGATGATTCGAGGAATAATTAAATATTCCACACTATTGCAGATAGGTGATAAACCGTGACAGTCTCTCTGATAATCTTAATTAAAATATGGTGACTTCCGTGAGGAAAATATAGCTGTAGAGTGCACTAACCAGATAGCGCTTAATATTGCGCATGTAATAGATGGTATTAGATCATCTAGGTTTAGACATCTAGAACCCGAATCAGCTGGTGAAGAACGCCTCTAGAGATTATGATATTTCGACCAATATATCCAGGTAATGCAATTCCGTTCCACCAGGGGGAGCCAGTGGTACTTTCAATAGCATCTGGCCAGATGGGGAATCCCAACTTCTCAGTGACTTGACCACGTGGATTCCCCATCTGGCCAGATGCTATTGAAAGTACCACTGACAGCACATAAAACATTATATTTAAGATCTCTGAATTCTTGAGGTCTACTTTTCTATGAGATAACTAATTCTAATTAGTTACTTGGCGGTAGCATCATGCCACGGACAAGCTACATTCCTATAAGGCTCTGGAACTATTTTCTTCCAAACTGCATTGAAAAAGGAAAACAAATACAGTTCCCTCTTTAAAAACAAGGGTAGTCCTCATTTGTAATGTAGAAAACCTGTTATACAGTCTGGAATGAATAATAAACTCTTTGTCCTTAGATCCATCGGGTACTTAAAGAAGATGGAGTGTTCATTGGCGCCATGTTTGGTGGAGAAAAACACTTTATGAACTTCGCTGCTCCTTACAGTTGGCTGAGTTAGAGAGGGAAGGAGGCTTTTCACCTCATGTGTCTCCATTTACTGCTGTTAATGACCTAGGCAATCTGCTGGGTAGAGCTGGGTTTAACATGCTGACTGTGGTAAGCTAACGTGGAACTTCACTCTCTCAATCAACATGGACAATTTTTAATCCTTGTGCTGCTAGCATTAGTAAACAGATAGAAAAGTATATTATATTTACTTGTTTTAAACTGTTTTTTACATTTCTTCAGTTACTTCCTGGTTCCCAGGCCTAGGCAAAAGCCATACATCCCAGGAGTCTTCAGGAGGGGAGGATGGGTTTTCTCAGCTAGGCACACCCTCCTGCCTGCATGCCTGTGCTAAGCTCAGATGGATTCCAGGAAGTAAATACTACATGAATCATCTGTCCTTACTTAAGATGACCACAGCCAGAAATGCTACAGGGGGTTTAGTTCACCTTTACCAAAATACTGTCTGTTCAGATAAGGGGCTTTTCAAGATAAAAATAAACTGTGCAGTTCTGACGAAAGTTGAATAATACCCTTACTATAGGTGTAGGTCATTTACATGATGATGTTGCTAAGTGAGGCCTAGTCGTTACTGCTTACCTCCACCATCACAAGAGTGAGCTCTCAAATGCTGAGCTCAGAGCTACTGTGTCAGGGGAGAGACAGAGCATGTGAGTGAGTTTGAATTGGAGAAAGAGCTCACTCCTGTGATGGTGGAGGTGAGCAGTAATGACTAGGCCTCACTGATCAACGTCCTAGCAACGTCCTGGGAGAATTCCAGTCAGGCTTTATGAAGTATGTAAATGGCCTACACCTATAGCAAGGGCATTATTTAACTGTGGTTAAAAGCTGCGGTTTGTTTTTATTTACAGACACCCCTTACCTGCATAGGCAGATTTTTGGTAAAGGTGAGCTAACTCTTTGAAGCTGAACTAGAAGTTCATTGATGTCTGTTTTCTCCATACATGGAATGGATGGTGTAATTAGCATAAGCAGCGAGAGATGCACCGATACCTGTTTGTTACCGACGCGTTGCGAGTACTCAAGTACCCGCTGATACCAATTACCGATACCTTTGCAGTGCGATTTGAGCTTATACAAAATGAATTGGATCAAAGCACCCTGCAAAGAATCGCATGTGATTATAACAAGAATGTAATGCTATTCCTGTTCGAATCGCATACAATTTACCGCGCCGCTGCTGTGTGAACCCAGGCTGAAGTGCCTATGACAAGCCTGGGTTCACATAGGAGTGGTGTGGGAAACCGTAGTTGTTTTTCTGCAGATATTTTAAATGGGTGACTATATTGTATGTTCTTTTCTCATGCGTTGTGCAAGTTTAGTCCCTGACATAGGCTCCCCACATACATGGGAAAAGCCCTCCCAGCTCACTACTTTAAAGCCTATCCAGCAAAATCAAAAGAAGCACACCCCTGCCTATATCAGCGCTTGTATGCCTCCCAACACAGCATCGGCACAGTGCATGCTGGGAGTTGTAGTTTGCCAGCAGTCACGTGGCCAATAGTTGTGTTTGTATGTACACTCCTAAGATGTTCAGTTGGGTTTTTTTGTGTATTTTCTATTTTTTTCTTTTCTTCTTTTTTTTTTTTTTTTTTTTTTTTTAGCAGCTTGTACACAAACATATTATGAGAACCTGTTTTTAACAAATGAAAACTGTAATTTACTTGGAATTAACGTTGCACTTTTTAGGCATTTTCTGTTAGACCCCATGCGGTGCATCTTTTACAATGAGCAGGGGTATCTGAGAACAGATCCTCTGCTGAATCTGAGCTGGAGCTTAAAGCCTGGTTCACATCTATATAGGTTGCGGTTGATGCATTTTCCAGAAGAGTATTGTGGTTTCTTCACATGCGTTTTTGACATGTTTTTAATGCATTTTGCGTTTTTGGGAGGTGTCTGTTGCTTTGAGGGAGAAACCAGAAAAATGCAGCAGAAATGCATCTAAAACCCAAGCATTGCTTTTTTGATGAATTTATGCTGTGTTTCCGTTGAAGTCCATAGAACCAAAAACGCAGCCTTCTGCTGAAAAAAAAAGTCCCTGACCCTTTCCTACAAACACATCAGTGAAAAATGTACAAATGTGAACATGACCCATAGGAAACCATGTTAAATGGACTGTAGTGATTCCTGCAAAACTGAAAACTGACTAAAAAATGCATAGGTGTGAACCAGGACTAAAGTGAAACTACACCCCCTGTCCTTTTCAGCCAAGGAATCTGCCTCTTATGCAGGCCATAGATGGGTCGAAAACCGGCCATTTTTTTATAAAAAAAAAAATGAAAAATCGGTCGTTCGATCGGCTGACATTACCACCAACGGTAAAAAAATCGGCTGATTTTCGTCTCGTCTACGGCCAGCATTTAATTACTTCTGTCCCTTGCAGAGAGCTCCGCTATTATATTTGTCATGAAAAAGTCTTGCGGTTGCAACAATGTATCCATTTGTATCCATTTCAGATACAGATGTTTTTATTCGGATACAAATAGTTACATTGTTGCAACCGCAAGACTTTTTCATGTCAAATATAATAGCGGACTGGAATTCTTCTTCTTCTTCTTTTTCTTCTTTTTCGGGAAAATTGGTCGATCGGCAAAATTGGCTGATTTTTTTCCAACTTTACCGATTAAAAAAAATGTGCCAAAACCCCGCAAAGAACGGCCAACCAATTAACACAATTGGCCGATTTTTTTTTTTTTTTTTTTTTTTCGGCTGAAAAATTGGCTGATTTTCGACCCGTCTATGGCCTTCATAAGCCTCTGTTTAATCTGCAACTGCCATGATGCTGCACATGTGATCAGTTATGACACCAGCCATTTGATGGTTTGACAGTTTAATTGAGAGCACCAGCAAGTGTGAGAGTTAGCATTGTTGGCATGCTGGGAATTTAACCTCTTTTTTTTTTTTTAAACCTTTAAATTGATGGTTTTTAATTCTGCTTTAACTGACACATTTTAGGCCTCTGGAAAGGTGGAAACAAACAGACATGTTTAGGACTATAAAAGCTGAAAAGGATTCAGATTATTCCCCTTTTTTCTTTCTTCTTTTTTTTTTTTTTTGGTCCAAGATAGACTCAGAGGCAATCGATTATAAATAGCTACATGTCCATGTATAACGGATGCATATTCTCCTTACCAATAGATTATACCGTGGAGCTGAAAAACCGACAGGCTGATCAGAACACCTATGTGAAAGGATCCTCAGTTTTATTGTGTCAGGAATTCAACTCTAACGTTTTTACTTCTTATTTATTTATTTCAGGTACTTATATAGCGCCGTCCATTTACGCAGCGCTTTACATATACATTGGGGCAAAAAAGTATTTAGTCAGCCACCAATTGTGCAAGTTCTCCCAATTAAAAAGACGAGAGAGGCCTGTAATTGGCATCATAGGTAGACCTCAACTATGAGAGACAAAATGAGAAAAAAAATCCAGACAATCACATTGGCTGATTTGGAAAGAATTTATTTGCAAATTATGGTGGAAAATAAGTATTTGGTCAATATGAAAAGTTCATCTCAATACTTTGTTATATATCCTTTGTTGGCAATGACAGAGGTCAAATGTTTCCTGTAAGTCTTCACAAGGTTGGCACACACTGTTGCTGGTATGTTGGCCCATTCCTCCATGCAGATTTCCTCTAGAGCAGTGATGTTTTGGGGCTGTCGCTGGGCAACACAGACTTTCATCTCCCTCCAAAGGTTTTCTATGGGGTTGAGATCTGGAGACTGGCTAGGCCACTTCAGGACCTTGAAATGCTTCTTACGAAGCCACTGCTTCGTTGCGCGGTATGTTTGGGATCATTGTCATGTTGGAAGACCCAGCCACGTTTTATCTTCAATGCCCTTGCTGATGAAAGGAGGTTTGCACTCAAAATCTCATGATACATGGCCCCATTCATTCTGTCCTGTACATGGATCAGTCGTCCTGGTCCCTTTGTGGAGAAACAGCCCCAAAGCATGATGTTGCCACCCCCCATGCTTCACAGTAGGTATGGTGTTCTTTGGATGCAACTCAGCATTCTCTCTCCTCCAAACACGACGAGTTGTGTTTCTACCAAAAAGTTCTATTTTGGTTTCATCTGACCATATGACATTCTCCCAATCCTCTACTGGATCATCCAAATACTCTCTAGCAAACTTCAGATTGGCCCGGACATGTACTGGCTTAAGCAGGGGGACACGTCTGGCACTGCAGGATCTGAGTCCCTGGCGGCGTAGTGTGTTACTGATGGTAACCTTTGTTACGTTGGTCCCAGCTCTCTGCAGGTCATTCACTAGGTCCCCCCTGTGTGGTCCTGGGATTTTTGCTCACCGTTCTTGTGATCATTTTGACCCCACGGGGTGAGAACTTGCGTGGAGCCCCAGATCGAGGGAGATTATCAGTGGTATTGTATGTCTTTCATTTTCTAATTATTGCTCCCACAGTTGATTTGTTCACACCAAGCTGCTTGCCTATTGCAGATTCAGTCTTCCCAGCCTGGTGCAGGTCTACAATTTTGTTTCTGTTGTCCTTCGTGTGAGGGACCGCCGAACGGCACCACTAGCACTCCACCGGTCAGGCGTGCCCAGAGCGCGGAGTCTAAGCCCCAGGGTACTTGTTCACCAGAGCCCCTGATGGTGGGGATGGACTTGGAGTACTCCGGGACCAGGTCGCCACTACTGAGCACACCTGTCAGTGGTAGGGGTGTTCGCCAGGGGCTCCAACCAGGGAGAGCCAGATGTGAGGAGGCCGGGTGACCCCGATGGGATGGATGGATGGCTGAGCAAGTGCGAAGTCAGACGGGCCGATTTGGTAACGTAGAGGACGGTATGGTACAAGGGAGCGGACAGAGAATCGTCGGGTCACACGCCAGGTCAGCAACAGCAGGTCAGATCTAATGAGGGGCATTCAGAAGAGAGGTCAGGCAAAGCAAGGGTCTGGGCAGAGGAAATCAGCAGGTCAAGAGCAATCCGGGTCAAATAACTTACTAGGCACAGGTTCAGATTCGCAGGATACAGGTAGGACCAGAAGGCACTGAATGACAGCTCAGGGACATTTAAATATCCCGCCCTGCGCTGCCACTGGTGCCCAGGGGGCGGCCGCGGCTTCT